TAATAGCCAAAATATACAGATGATCTAAAAGCTCATGAAAGGAAAACTTTTGAAATTATAATATACAACATTATGTAGATATATTAATACACACTTTCAGAATTTTAGAAAATTGGATTTTGAGTCATTAAGTTTTTAATACATAAGAATAAAATTTGTTTATACTGTGCAGCTTGCACACTTGCCTTTACATAGCAAGAAGAAATAAACTGAAATATCAGGTATTTTCTCTCAGAGGTAGAATTACAAATACATTTTTCTTTACACTTTTTTGATCCCATAAATTATCCACCATATTTCATTTTTAAATACATACAAATATAATCTATAAACAAATATTTCTATATGCTTTTCACACTTATGTTCGTTTTTGTAGATGTGCTTATGATTTTGTAGTAAGCTCTATTCATCAGTTCTATATGTCACAAATCATCTTGAGTTTTGAATTTTAATTTTTCTGTTGATTAAAATAGTTTTTTTTCTTTTTCTAGAATGGGACATAGTAGGTATATTTTCTGAGGTTTTCCATATCAAAGATTGTCTACTGAAGATTCCAGTTATAAAAGGATATGGATTGAGTGCAGAGTTTTCATTGTTGTTCCCTGATATAGGTTTGAGGAAATCTATAGTATTTGTGCCATTGAAAGGCACCTGCCTGGTTTGTTTTTTCCTTAGTTACTCCTATATAGTATTCCATTATCTTTAAAATGAGAAACAAACTTTGGGTCTATTTGCCACTATTATTACCCATAAAACAGAGACTAGTTTTACTTTGAAGGTAAGAGTCACCTGGAATATATGAAGTCTGTGGTCACCCCTGGTGTCTGCACCATGGTGGTGCAAGCTCCCTCCCAGATCCCATGAAGCTCAAGACTGTTGGCAGAGTTCAGGCTGAGACTCTGCTTGTGAAATTAGAGATACTCATGCTGACTAGCTGAGTCAAGGTGTGTTAGTTGCCTTCCTTCTTTGAGACAAATACCTGAGATCATCAATTTACAAGGAGGAAAGATGTATTTGGGCTCACAATTTCAGACCTTTCGGTCCATGATCACTTGACTCCATTGCTTTGGGCCTGTGATAGTACAGTACATCGTGGTGGGAGCATGCAGTTGACCAAGTCTGTTGACCTTATGGTGACCATGAAGCAAAGAGAAGCAGGAAGCGGCCACAGGTCCCAATATCACCTTCAAGGGCATGGCCACAATGACCTAACATCCTCCAATGACATGCAACTCCCTAGAGGTTCCACCATCTCCCAATAGGACCATAGACTAGTGACCAAGCCTTTAGTTATGGGCTTTTAGGGGACACTCCACATCCAAACTATAGCAAGTGGTCATTCATAAAAATCTGCAGTGTGTCACCCAGGAGTGGATCTTTCTAAATCCTACATTAGCTTTCCTACAAGTTCTATTGAGTTTTCATTATTTGCAGATTGTTTTAGTCAATATTTATATCTATGTTCTAATACTAGCCAAAATGTACAGATGATCTAAAAGCTCAGAATGAAGACTACCAGATTCCAGCTCTCATAATAGCATTGCAGGTCAGGTTTGAATTAGGACTATGCGAATTAATCCCTTGATGTCGTGAATGCAATTCTTACCTCCTTTATGTTGACTTTGCTATTCCAACACAGTCTCTTCATCTTAATAGAGGAATCCTGTTGTTTTTTGTAGGCCATGTCAGGAGAAAGGCAATAGTAGGAATTTGTCAAGAAATATGCAGATTTTTCTGTTTTAAATTCCATTGCCTAATGTAGCAACAGGCCTATCACATTCATTGTGTCCCTAGGCTGAGTGAGTGGCTGGGGTGTTGACTTAAATTCACAACTGAGTCTTTTCTACTACTCCCCATCTGTTACTATCTTCCTTTGTTGCAGAAGCCTTTGCAATGAGACAAGCTGCCAAACCCCCACTGTAAGAGCCCCTCATCACCACTTCTATTGCTCCTGTAATAATGTCCTCCGGCTTGCCAAAGGGACTGTCTTCTAATACTCCCTAGGCTGTCAGTGCAGTCTCCACGGCAGATGTCTAGGTGCTGCCATGGGACGTCCCAGCCACAGAGCAACAAGCAGCGCTCTATCAGAGTATTTCACAGAGTGGTAAATAAAATCAGCACTTGGTCAGTTTTCTTTTCTTTTAAATTGCCTCTTTTTTTTTTTTTGGCATAGCTATGGAAATAAAACCACAAATAGATATTTTTGCTGTGTGGTTTTGAATCCTGGCTGTCTTATTTGGGGCAAGTAACTTAATCTGTTTCCTCCTTTCAAAAATGTTGTAATAGTAGTAGCACTAATAATACTAATAATAATGATAATGATAATATTAGTAATAATTATAATATCTATCTCATGTGGATGTTTTGATATGTAAGTATAACTATTCTTTGCTTTGAATTTTTCAATTATTCCTGAAAACTCTGTCATTAAGTGCATGGCCATTATTTTTTCCAAAACCACTCATTTCAATGGGAAATAGTTTTGTTTCAATTAGGCAGCTGCCTAGACACTGACAGCATAGGAGACACTCAACAATCACATTTATAGCATTTATGTTATGGAATTCAGATCCACAAATCCACAGCATATGATGTCCTGGAGCTGTGCTTCACGGAGCTGTGCTTTGAAGGATGCTATTGAAAAAGGGAGGATACATTAGGAAGAAAACATTTAAAGCTACAGAAAAGGCCAGGCTTTTCAATCACTTCAAGAGCAGCTATTAGTTAATATATTAATATACACAGAAATTGATATGCTCAGTGGGAAGCGTGCTAAGTATAATTTGAGTTTTAAAAAGTAGGGAATAGGGCAAAGAGCTTTTCAAAAAATCATGCTGAACATACAAACTTTAATGCGTATCAAATGATGTAATGATAAAATATATAAAGAAAAATATGTAAATTAAAAATATACAATTGTTGAAGATCTTAGCATCTTTTCTCCATGAAAAATTAGTGGCCAAAAATATATATAGCATTACATAAAGAATCTGAGAAATTTAACATGGCTGTAAAATTTGTATTCTATATTGTAGAAATATATACTAACTCCTGTGAGACATTTATTAAAATTAATCTTAAAATAACTCTTAAAGAAAAGTTCAATAAATTGTAAAACGTTCTTCCTAAAGTAAAATAAATGCTCTCCCAAGTAACATTTGAATCAATGGCATTAAGATATTTAGGATAACCTTAATTTTAATAGAGTGCTCACAAAATAAGTAGAGAAATTATTATTTAAGAGTTAAAAGATATGAATTTAAAATTTACAAAAATCAGGTGTATCATAAACCTATAATCAAAGATATATTATTTTAATAAAATTATATTTTGTACCTATTGTGAGACTAATGATTTCTTAATGTAATGGCCAATGCATATGTCAAAGGAAAAAGGAGAATGTAAATAAATTATTCCATTCTTTCTTGAGATCAACTTGAAACCAATGCTTTTAAAATTATTTTTTAAATGATTTCTTTTAGGGTTTGTCCTGTGAAGACATTTAAATATAGGACATATGACTAAGGAATTGGGCACAAGGACATCTTCATGACAGGGTTGTTTATGAGAGTAAGATATTGGGATAACCTGAATCTCCTATGACAGTTCCCTGGTTAACCAAATTATGATATATTTATACAACCATAGGAAATCATGCTGCTGAGAAAGATTTAATGACATGGTAACTTGTTTATAATACAAGGTTGATTTCAAAAGCCCAGTTAGAAATCTCCTGGAAGATATATTCCATTTTTTATTTAACATGTATACAAAACTTGGCAATACATTAAGAATATAATTGTTATTTAACCTACAATTATGAATTATTTAAGGTTTCTTCTACCTGATTTATTTTCACAATCTACATGTATGGTGAAATTGGTGATAATCATTTAAAAATTGTCTCCAATTTTTAATATATCTAAGAATTGGTTCTTCAAGTTAGCAGTGCCATCTGCTGATCATCCTAGGAGTATTTCTTCAGAAAAAAAAGTTCAGAACTTAGGGCAGTCTGGAGTTATCAAAATAAATATTACAAAATATTTAAGAAGAAATCTTGTGAAACTTACTTAGTTTAAATCTTCCACACGGTGCCATTAAAATGCTTTTCAAAATCTAAGCATGGACTCTACCATTCTTTTATTCCTTCAATTTACCCTAGAATTTTGTCATCTTCAATTTATATTCATCAATTTTTTTAATAGTCACCAAAAAGAAAATGCATCATAGCCAAGTGTACATGCTAGCTAGAAAATTGTAATGAAAAAATAGTACCAAAGTTTAAGACAGAGTGGATTCTTTAATAAATAATAAATAGTAAAATAAATTTGATCAGAAGTTGGTTTAACAATATGGAAAATTGTTCAGGATGTGAGAATAGAAAAGAACATGTTAATGGATATTTTATATGGGAGAGTGAGTATCTGACACATAGATTTGTCTAATAGTTTAGAGGAAATAGTAAAGAACAGATGCTATTGTTATAGAGCCTACATTTTCCATTTTGTTGTAATAAAGTGATGTAATAAAAGATTTGCCAAATATCTTCTCAATTCCAGGTACACCATATTTACAATAATTTCAAAATCTATTCATCTTGCCAAAGAAAGCTCATCTAGTTAACACGATAGTACTGACTCCCAATGAACCCACAGTCAAACTGGTGTTTCATCTGAGCAGCTCGGCTATCCATTCTATACCCCTATGTAGACTCAAAATCAACCTTGCTACATACTTCATCTTTCACACTGTGAAAACTTAAAATTTACTCATTTATAAATTCCTTGCAACTGTCTCACGTCCCCTTGACATCTCCAGAGATCAGCAGTGGTGATTCTGCTGTCCTCTGAACAAATTCTCTCAAGACAGGCCTAAAGATTTAGACATGTTCAATTCACCTGAGAGCGCTTATCTCTGCTGTTGCCTGTCACGGGATCTAGTCATCTTCTAAAAAAGATGTTTTCCCAGAAATTTCAACTGGATATTTATTTCCTTTACAGAGAACACAGAAGTGAGTCTGGATCACGGAAACTCTGCACATTTTCCCTCAGCCACTAATATTACATGAAGGCATCAAGTAAAGGGCTAATCGTCCCCTGTTGCTATACTCTGAATTTACCAAGAAGCATTTTGTGCAGCCTGATGGGACTGTTTGATTTTAAAAACACAAATCATGTTAAGTTACTTATAATTAAGTTGACAATATATTAAATCTACCACTTAATAAAGTTGGGGGAATTTTATATATCCAAAACGATGGCAGTGGTGACAATACAGACCTTCCAGTTTATCTTCAGATGAAAGAATCAGAAGAACCAGAGCAAGTACCACCATGCAAAACTCTTGCCTTCAGCAAAACGACTTCCATTAGTAGAAAATGTGCAAACTTTGCATCACCTGTACAACTTAAAAAATGAAAACAAAATACCTATGAATGATCTCTCACACTCATGACAGAGTATTCACAGAGAGTTGGGACAGTTTGGGTAAAAACTGAACAAAAGAGAGATGAGATCTAGGATTGACTCAAAATTATCTCCAGAGGGGGGGGAAAGAAACAACTGTGGATGTAAAAATATTTAAAGAGCACTGGCTTTATGAAGAAGAGTTAAAAATGTACATGGGATAAGAGGAGAAGGTTGTAAAAGAGTAAATCTTTCAGGAAGATAAGAGTTAAAAGGAAGGAAGAAACCCACCCCCCTTGGAAATCTCACATCGAATGAGAAAAAGAAATAGGAAAATTTAAGAATCTGGAAGACAGAATGAAATAAAGCTATCAAATAATACATATCCTTTCTCCTCACCTCCTAAAGAAAAGCAAAGTCACACTTCACTCTAGTGACAGAAGGCAGCACTTTTGAGTTAAAAACTGTGTAAACTAAGTAGAGACACAGTTTTTATCTGAATTACTATTAAAGGGAAATCTAAATAAAAATCAAAGCAGTTTATCTGAGAAACTTTTTTTCCAGCCACCCCACCCCGACAGAAAGCAAAATAGAAAGAAATTATAACACAATGTTCTAAACTCAATTAAAAATATTCTCAAACAAGCATTTGGTAATATGAAGAAAACAAACAAATACCTTGCGTTTAAAATTCAGAAGTCAAGAATAGGAGAAATAAAATGAGAGTTGATTGAAACCAAGAGGAATTATGTAAGAAATGGGACTATTTATAGGCCCTCTGAGAAAGAAAGAAAAAACTTAATAAAAGTCAAAGAATAAAAGTAAGAAAATAGCCAAGACAATAAAAAACAAAATATAGAAATTATTTTTTTAAAAGTTCAAAGAAAAGTGGTTGAAATGGTATACAGGAAAGTAAGAACTAATTAATAATGCAACTAGTATTTCAGAAGAAGAAAATTAAACAGTAGAACAGAACTAATATTTTTTAAAAACCCAGCCAAGTAACGAAATAACTAAAGACAAAAATAAGCCAGGAAAGTTATGTTTGATTCATTCTACTGTTCCTATTCCCAATCTCCCTCCCTTCTCTTCATTCCCCTTTGTCTAATTCAATGAATTTCTATTTTTCCCTCTCCTCCCCCTTATTGTATGTTAGCATCCACATATCACAGAGTACCTTAGGCCTTTGGGTTTGGGGGATTGGCTAATTTCACTTAGCGTGATAGTCTCTAGTTCCATCCATTTACCAGAAAATGCCACAATCTCATTCTTCTTTATGGCTATGTAATAGTCCATGTATATATATATACCACATTTTCTTTATCCATTCATCTGTCAAAGGGCACCTAGGTTGGTTCCATAGCTTAGCTATTTGAATTGAACTGCTATAAACATTGATGTGGATGAATACATGACCAGTGAAACTCCACATCATATACAATTGCAAGAATAGGATCTTAATTAGAAAAGTTATACTCCATGTATGTATAATATGTCCAAATACATTCTACTGTCATGTATATCTAAAAAGAGCAAATAAAAGCTTTTAAAATTAGCCAGGATATGATAAAGACAAAAAACATGCATTATTGAGGCTGAGAATAAAAAATAAATGAAATATGACCTTAAACAAAATTTCCTTCTTGGGGGAAAATAAAACAACAAAATACTAGTAACTTAAGAAAAAAATAGGAAAATAAAAAAGTACAAAATTAAGAACTGAGTAAAAACAGCACAAAACTGATAATTTCTTAAAGAATGTAAGGTGTATTAGACTCCCAGAGCTGCCATAACAAGTGCCATAAACTTTATGGTTTAAAACAACAGCAATTTATTCTCAGACAGCACTGGAGACAGAAAGTCTGAAATCCATAATTTGACAAGGTGCCATGTTCTCTCACTGAAGGCTCTAATAGAAGGTTCTTCCTTGCCTCTTCCAGTTTCTAGTGGTTGCCAATAACCCTTGTGTCCCTTGGTTGATAGAATCATTACTTGAATCTCTGCTTCTGCCGTAGCATGGACTTCCACTATGTGCTTCTGTCTCTTCTCTTCTTGCTCTTAGGACACTGCTTGTATTGGCTTAGGATATAATGTGAATTTCTAAGATTATTAGAAAAAGTTATCTGCTTTTAATATTCCTATACTATTTGTGATTCTGTGAATTGTCTCCCCTGTTCTTTGTTCATTTTTTCAGTCATTTTGCTTTTTCTCAGTGATTTGGAAGATTTATATTTGTCCAACAAAAAATTAATATCTTTCCTTACATGTGTTGCTAGTATTTTCTTCCTACTATTTTTCTCTTTCGCTTTGTTTATGAAGTATCATATCCCAAAGGGATATTTTAAAAACTGTATATTTAGCAATATGTCCTTATTTTTCTTTTTACATACTGGGTGTGGTGCTGTGTTAAAAAGAGGGCCTCCTCTTCACAACACTGAGAAATAATCCTCTTTGACTCTGTTAGCTCAGATTCTCATTGTGTTCCTGGTTCAATTTTGTTGCAACAATAATGGAATGCATTGCACAGTTTGGCTGATTTCTTTTGGGGCAAGTCTCTCTATAAGGTCTCAAAGACAAACATCTTAATGTACCTATTTATCTTGTTTTATGTCTACTGTTTTTGAAAGAGTTCAGAACATTGCCCTGAAATACTCGGCTTTGGTATACTGATTATTTAGAGCTGGAGACACTTGAGAAATAGCAGATGCAGGGAGGAATCACAGACCTCCTCCTTTCTACCTACAAGCAGGTCATAAATTTCCCAAAAGAAAGGTACCTCTGTGTAACAGTAAAAGAAGAATATTCTTATCACCAGAGACTGGGAGTCAATGCCAAAATTAAGCTGTACAAACAAATCTATTAAAATAATTACTGTCTTCCATTAGTTTCCTTCATCTGTTTTCTAGTGATTGTCCCACAATTTACTGCCTGTAGCCCAAGCCCTTGTCTTGTCACATCATAATTTATGATTTTTTTTTTTGTTTAAAAGCCAAGAGGTTTGAAGGAAGATTTTCCTTCCATACATTTCTCAAATGCAGCACGTTATGAGTTCTATTCTTATGGTTTCTTTCTACTTTGGTGTTGAGGTCTCGCTTGAGAGTGCCCATAAACCAAGACAGCCATTCTCTAGGGAGGGTTAGGTTCAGGTGTGTCAGTCAAGTAAGACACATGAAGAAGGGAAACCAAAATGCATCATTACTTACAAATGCATTATTACTTACAGGTCCCAGAGAATCTCTGGGGTGAGAATGGGAGGCTTAAGGGAAATCTGTTGGTAGGGAGGGGAAAAGAGGTGGGGGGGGGCAGACAGGAAGGAGGAGAGGAAGGTAGAAGAGAAGGAAAGAGGGAGGGGAAGAAAAGAAAGGAGTGGAGGAGAGAGGGAGATGAGAGGGAAGAGAGGAAGGGAGAGAGATGAGGAGAGAAAGGAGAGAGTAGAGAAAGAGAGAACTCTGGGAAGACAGAATAAGCCTGTGGAACTAGGCTTTAATCAAGGTTCCTGGGTGCTGTCTGTTAGCCTTTCCCTCTGTTGTATTTTGGATATTAGGTGTCTCCCCAAAAATTCATGTTATAGAAGAATGCAGGGAGGTTCAGGGGTGAAATGATTATGAGAGCAGTGGACTAATCCACTAATGACTTGAAAGGACTACTGTACTAGGTGGTAATTATAGCAGATAGGGTGTGGCTGGGGGGACGTAGGTCACTGGGGGCATGACTTTGGGGCTTGTATTTTGTGCCTGACACCTCATTCTCCCTCCCTCCTTCTCTTTCTCTCTCCCTCCCTCTCTTCCCCTCCACCTCCCTCCCTTCCAACTCCCCTTCCTCTCACTGTCTTGAGCTGAGCACCTTTCTTTCCTCATACCTTTGGCCATGACAATGTTTCGCCATCACCTCAGGCTCAGAGCAATGGAGCTGGCCAACCTTAGACTTTCCTCCTCTAAGTCGTTCTTGTCAGGCATTTTGGTCACAGTGACAAAAAGCTGACTAACGTAATCTCAGCACTTGGAATTGGCTAATTTACAGAAAATGCACATGAAGGGGGAAACTCATTTACTTGACTCCATTGTTGACTGTCAAGTTTTATCATGGTCAACAGCTGCAGGATACGTTAGGGTTTTTGGTCAGTGAGACAAAGAACCATGAAGCAAGGTAGCAAACAAGGACCCAGAGAGGGGAAGTTGTAACCAAACCAAAGGTGACAGGGTATGACTGGGATTCAAATCATATCTCAGACTAAAAATGGATGTCAAGGCTGCAGCTTTATTGAATAAAATTATGACACAGTACTTTTCTGAAGTTCTATTTGATTCAATAATGTCAATTGGTTAATAAAATTATCTTAATAGTCGAATTCTCAAAATTTCTGTTAACAACATGGGAGATAATAGAGTAAGAATATCATTACAGGGCTGAGGATGTGGCTCAAGTGGTAGTGTGCTCGCCTAGCATGCATGAGGCACTGGATTCGATTCTCAGCACCACATAAAAATAAAATAAAGATATTGTGTCCACCTAAAACTAAAAAATAAATATTTTTTTAAAAAGAATATCATTACAATAAAATGAACAGAATGTTAAGGAAATTATTAAGTATATGTTGAAGTTTAAGACACAATTGAATTACGTTAAAAGACTCATGAAGGTTAGAGATGGATGGCGTACTTTTAGTTTTTGATCCAGACAATAAAAACAAAACCCCATATAAGAACACTATTAGTAACCTAAGTATATAATCTCTCAGACATTTGTGTGTGCATAAACACAAACAATATACATGTGTGTCCACTTTTTCAGTGGAAAAAATTCTGCACATACTACTTACCTTTGTTTTTATTCTTATAATTTATAAAACATTTTATAATTTTAAATGCAGCTTGATATCAACTTGCCACTGGCAAATGAAGTTTTAAATTAAACACAATTTTTGTTACTGAATTATGCTACATTTTATAATGATTCTGAATTTATATAATACATTGTTTGGACATTTTAAGTCATTATTTGTTCTGATGCTTTACTATTATAAAAAAAAAATGCTTTGGAGAAACAGTGAACTGTGAATGCATCAAACTGCATGCATGACTCTCAGAGCATACTATGCTCAGTGAAAGAAGCAGGGCACAGAAGTCCACAGGCTATTTGCCTC